TGTGTTAAGTCTCACACCTGTGTGTGTGTAAGTCTCACACCTGTGTGTGTGTAAGTCTCACACCTGTGTGTGTTAAGTTCACACCTGTATATGTGTTAAGTTCACACCTGTGTGTGTAAGTCTCACACCTGTGTGTGTGTAAGTCTCACACCTGTATATGTGTTAAGTTCACACCTGTGTGTGTGTAAGTCTCACACCTGTGTGTGTTAAGTTCAAACCTGTATATGTGTTAAGTCTCACACCTGTGTGTGTGTTAAGTTCACACCTGTGTGTGTAAGTCTCACACCTGTGTGTGTGTTAAGTTCACACCTGTGTGTGTGTTAAGTTCACACCTGTGTGTGTGCTAAGTTCACTTCTCCAACTTCAATTCCCCATCCCAATTCAAGGATTTTCCACTTGGGGTGGGAGGTATATTTGTTTTTCTACGAAGTCTAAAGGAAGGAAAAGGAAATAAGTGGATCCCTTCTGTATGCCAGAAGATAGTCTAGATCTTCAGGATGCAGAAATAAGAAAATTTCTACTTTTGTGAAGCTTAAATCTAATGGGAGGAAAAAATCAAAATAAATAAGTAAAGCACTAAGTGTAAAACCATGATAATCACAAGGAAGAAAGTGGAAGGGATGGTAACAGGAATTTTGGAAGAGAGGGTGACACTTACCTGCTGGGACAAGGACCTCCCATTAGAGTGTTTTGAAACAAAGTTCAGACATGTATCTTAAGAAATGAGTGTTCCTTTTCATTTCTCTTCACACTTACCACCTCACACACTCAAGACACTGTTCCCAGTGAGAAAGCAGATGGGATCACCTCGTGCTTTTAAAAGGAGATTCAGACTAAAAAGTGTATTCTTTCCAAGCTAGAAAGCCAAGCTTCAGGCTTTTAATCACCATAAATCTCTTTGGCAGTGGTGAGAGAAGACCTCCCTGGGAATTTGACTTTGCTTATAAAACCCAAAGGTAATCAAGCAGGCCATCTAAGTGAAACTTCAGGTGCAAATACCCTCAGCAGATCACTTAGCTGGGAAGTCCAAGGATTTGTGGAGAGCCCATTGTGGTCAAAAGATTGTAGATCCAAAAGGCCATGGGGATTCAAGAGCAGATTAACTGGATTCTCAGACATCATTAGGAGGATTGACTTTACTATGGGTAAGATGAGAAGCCAGTCGAGTGTTATGTGATCAGGGATGTGGATTACTTGAATTTGGTGTCACTTCTAAACTGAACACGGACACACATGATCAAGGACAGGAGCCAGAACAGCAGTGAAATGCTCGGATGTAGCTCTGGTCTGCAATGTCAGCTTGAGGCAGCACACCAGCCCTTCAGGGGATTGGTGCTGCCAAGTTATGAGAAGACAGAAGCTTGAGGAATGATACCCTAGTTCCCTTCGGGGTGTATTAAGACTGAGTGCCCTGTTAGATATGAAAGGAGCTATCAGAGAGGCAATTGGTTCCCTGGACCTGGAGTTCAGGCAAAGTGCCTGGGCTAGAGACACATGTGATGGCCATCAGAAGTAGAGATACTTTAAGACAGTACATTGAAAAGGATAACCAGGGAGGGAGTGTGGGTAAAAAAGTGACCCAGATAATAGACATTGAGGCACACTAACACTTAGAGAATGGTAAAATAAGCCC